ATTTTATTATATATAATATAAAATTCGATTCGAAGATTCTGAAATTTTGAAAAAGAGCAAAATCAATACTATTTTGCTTTTTTTTTAAATAATTTATTTGAATACAGTATTAGGAAAATTAATTTGAGATAAAATATAATTTTGATTTTATGATGTTGCGGCTAAACAAATTTAATTAAAATAAAAATTTTGTTCAAAATTTTACGAGAATTTCGTCATTAAGGCGGTGGTTAATATAGAATATCCTCATAAGGCAATGAAAATTGTAATCATTTAGAAAGCCCTCCCTTAGCTTTTTAAAAATACATTGCCCAATTTGGGGAAAAACATAGAAATAAACAATAGAAATGAGTAGATACGTATGTTTTTTTTCTTTTCTTTTTTTAATTTGAAAAATAATTTCCAGCCAAACTAGTTGGAAATTATGTCGACTTCATACTTTACGAGTGCTGCCATCTGTTTATGTATATCTCAATCACTTATTTTTCATTTTAGTATGTTGGAGGATCGACCCTTTCAGGTAAGCTGCAACTTAAATTGGCTTTAAAAAGTAAATGAACAAAAAATATCGGATTAATATTTAATTCGTTAAGGTAATCATGGCAAGCGAATCGGAGATCTGCGTTAATGATTTCGAGAAAAAGATGGAATCGCTTCGGCAATTAGTCACATGTTCCATTTGCCTGGATTGTTTCCGTCATCCTATTATGCTGCCATGCCAGCATACTTTCTGTCAGTTATGTCTGTCGAAAATTGCTACTGAAAAAAACGTCCAGTGTCCCCAATGCAGAGAAACAATTTCCTTGTCTTCGGGACTGGCCTCGTTACCCGTAAACATACATCTTCAATCTGTAATTGAAGTCCTACAGACCGATGCGGCCAGTAAAGTCACGTGCTCTTCTTGCCAGATTAAAGCTGGAAATCCTTTAAAATGTGGACATTGCGAGCAACAATATTGTACGGATTGTCATGCCAAGCATTTATTAGTAATGAAGGAAAAATTAAATAAAATGGCCGACGAATTGAAAGAAAAAATATCATTTATAAATGAAGATTTTCAAAAATTTCAGGTAGAATTTTTTTATACATATAAATATTTAAAATAAAACTAATATTGAATTGTTTATAACCGTAATAAACGTAAATTAAATCAACTTTCTAAATGTAAAAAGCGAAATTTTTTGAGAACAATGGGAGTTGGAAGGACATCATCTTGCACTGACCTACATAGTAAAATTCGTGTTTGAAAACGAGTTTTTAGAGGACAAATGTAGGATGATGTGTGTTTCTAAAAACACAAACCACTTTTCTAAATTTGTTTATTAATTTAAATAACGTGACATTTAATTTTAGAAAATTAATTTAATTACAGCAATTATGGAAGCTTAAACAGATGAAAGAACTCAAATTTACACTGTTCTTTTCTACATTCCTCTCTGTGGGCACTAAGAGGGTCTTTTTAATCGTACCCATATGGGTTTAGGCCAGGCCCACAGTAGAGACAACCCATTATCCGGGACAGAGCGCCCATAAATAATTCCTAGCCGGATTCGACCCCGGATTCCTCAAGAGCGGAAGGCCGCTTTGGCCCTCCAACTTATATCTAATTAAATTAATCTTTAATTTAAATAAAGAAAATTTATAAATATTGCGTTTTCTTTATATAATACGTTGTTTTCATTGTAAATAATGATTATTTTATTTTTAAATTTGTGACATTTCACGTTTCCTTTTAAGACAGGAAAATATCTTTGCATCAATTAAGATGCTTGAGTTTATTCGTGTAGAAATTTTTAAATCAGGAATAACCTGTTAGTAGGAAATGACATTTTTTTTATTACATAATAATAGTATAAAGGCTATATTAAGTCAAAGAAACAAAATTTAGTTTTATGATAATCTCCAGTTTTATTTATTTAATATATTTTATAAACTCCACTCTGTGGACAATAAGAGGGGTTTTTTCATGTCTATTGTGGGTTCTGCCACAATGGGCATGATGGTGAGGTATAGGGCCCAATATATTTGCGACAGACAATCCCCTAAAAATGTCTGGGATTTTTCGACCACCCAGATTCGAATCCAGGTTCCCAGAGATGTTAGTTCTGGGAGATGATGACACTTAAACTACCTCATCCATAATACAAAATATGCTTAGAAATTAATATATTTATTCTTATAACAAAATAAATTTTCATTAAAAATATTTTTATTTATCATTTTTCCAGGAAGAATGCAAATTAGTGAACAACAACATTCATAAAGTGATAGAAGCGAAGATACTAGCTCTTAGAAATAACGAATCAACGTTAACAAACGAAGTTGATTCGGTTTTAAAAACGGAAGAATTAACAGTAAATGAATTAATTAAGAAAATCAATACTTTAATAAATGAAATAAAAACCATCGACGATTCGAACCAAGAAGCAGATTATATGGTTAGTCTAGTTTATTTATTAGTCTGAAACTTTACGGACTCGAACCCGGGTCTCTCAGCGAGGTAGACTGATATTCCAACTATCTTGACCATCCGACCGGTCTACTTTTTCAGATTAGAACAATGTAAAAATAATTACTAGCTCCATTAAAAAATATCAATTTTTATGATTTCTTTTTAATTTTTCAGGTTAAACATTTTATAAAATATCGTCAGGATGTTTCTCAATTAATATCAGAAATCACCGCTGAAAACTCTCGAAGAAAGAGAAAAGTTGTTTTTGATTCCCATTCGTTGACAATTACTTGGAAAGAAAAAGATAAAGAAAATTCTATTTTAGAATCGAATGAAAATATGGAGCGTCATTCGCGATTTTACATTACCAAACAGTTTCATCTAAAGTGCAAACTCGTATCTGAAATGCTGCAAAGACCTTCTGGAACTGCTGTATCTCCGTGGTCGAGTGAATTTTATGTAGTTTCTACCGATACGCACTTAATTCATGTTTTTGATTTACAGAATGGAAAATCCATCAGTTCTTTCGGAAGGAGAGGGCACAAAGATGGAGAATTTCTGTGTCCTTTCGGGATTGCTCTATGCCCGTTACAACACAAAATTTATATCACCGATAAGTGGAAACATTGCATACACGTTTTTAATAAAGACGGGGAATATCTTCGTCAGATTGGTACCAAGGGTAGAGCGTCTTCTCAGTTTAGAAGCCCAGAATCAATATGCGTTGATGGAAAAGGAAATGTCTATGTATGCGATACCTGCAACAACAGAATTCAAGTATTCAATTCTAATAGTTGTTATCATCATCAAATAGGGGTTCTTTTGAAAAAGGAAGGTGGAAAAATGAGGCAGAACAGCATGTTTCAAGATCCTACGGGAATAGCAGTAACTAAAGATGGTACCAGAGTTGTCGTTAGTGATTTCGGCCATCACAGAATCCACGTGTTTTCCTCTTTAGGTGACCATCTTTTCACATTCGGCCAGAAAGGAAATCTGAAAGGACAGTTTCTACATCCGGAATGTGTCGCCGTTGACAATAAAGGATTTATTCTTGTCGGGGATAGTGGTAATGGCAGAATACAAATATTTCGACCCGATGGATCCTATGTCAGAATGTTTGGATGCAAAGATTTTTCTGAAGAAAAGTTTAATTGGGTGTCGGGTATTGCTGTTACTGACAATTACGAGATTGTTGTTTGCGATTTTAAAAATCATTGTGTACAAATGTATTTATAATTGTTATGAAAATGTCAATTAAAGTCCCGTTTTCTCGCGTAAATCTCTACAGAAAAGTAATCCAAAAAATTTTCTTTGTTCGTGGTAAAAGTCTGGAAAGTCGAGTTTAGAAAGTTCTCAATTTTTATCTACGGAATCTGGAAAGGAATTTTTTTAAACCAATGGCAATCGACTTGAGACGTACTGTACGTCGTCATCACGCGTAGTCTCCTTTAATCATTAAGAATTTTCTTCCATCACCTTGACAATGTGAGTCGTGACATCATCACAATAACAATCAATTTCTAACAATTTAAATGTATTTTTCCGAATATAATGAGAACACGGTGTTTATTCCGGAGAGAATCACTATAGAAAAGTAATGCCGACAAAAAATACAGAAAATTTGTCCGCATTACTTTTCCGTAGTGATTTTCCTCAAGTGAGAACGGGGCTTAAGATGAGAAATTAATATTTTATTTTATAATATATTGAAGAGTTATTTTCAATAATTTTAGTTTTTAAATGGAAAATGAGAAATTATCTTTGATAAAAATAAAATTTTAAACATTACAGTATTTCGATATTAAATATGTTTTTATGATATAAGCCGCTATTAATTTTATCAATATTTAATTTTTAATAATTTTGAATTAATTAGACTAAATTAATGGGCATTACGTATATTTTATTAAGACGTATTTTCCTTTAACTACGTTTAAAAAATTAATCTCTACACAAGTTCAATTCTTTATATCTGAATTAGAAACATTTGTATACACGTTTAAAACAATAAATATTCTAATTATTGTTTGTACAATTAAATGTCTTTAATCTATAAAAATATCAATAGTTTGAATTTTACATGAACTGCTTCATTGATTTAAAAACAAATTTTGAAAAATGAAATTTGTTTACACCAGTAGCGTGTATAGAATCGATATTGGAGAGGCAAATTAGAAAAATCAAAGTGCACATCTACATTTATCCCTGCGCTACTGTAAATGTGCCCGAGTGGATAAAAGCCATTAAACACTCCTCGTCGTGGGTTCGCGCCGCACAAATGGACTGGCCGCTTGGAATTTTCCGGGTTTACTTCACTTAAACTGGCTACTTCTTTATAGAAATTTTTTCCTAGAGGCACCATTGGCAGATCGCCCACGTGTTGCGTATCCTTATCCCATCCATCCACTAGCGCTGTAGATGAAGAGTAAATAAGATATTGTATAAGCTTGTACTGTAGGTATGTGTAAATTCGTTTGTTTCATTCGAAAATTTATTTATTTACAAAAATAAACTAGTCATTGGTCTAGAGTCAAATAGATCTGTTTACACGGACATAATTAAATTAATTAATTAAATAAACAAGGGCTCCTCATTAAAAACACAATGATACGGTAATGCGTTAATTGTATTTCAATACAATTGCTCGTTAATACTGTACACAATTGCAAGTTACAATTGTATTATTTATTATGTGCATTTTTGATTAAACAGCATATAAATTTACAATATTACTAAATAAGCATCATATTTAGTGCAGCAATTTAAGTGTAGACATTTCAGACGTGCTTGGATGCATATTTATTCCATTCCCATGAAATTACGAATAAGAGAAGACCAGTTTTCTTCGCTTGAGTTACTTTTTCCTCTATCTCATTAAGCACACCCAAGATTGGAATATCTTTGTCATCACTTATTTCACCGAGCTGTCAATTTAACGTTTTGTTATCACATTTACTTCACAATTCATAGAATCAGCTACTTTATTTATGCTGTATATTTTAAATATGATAAGCCAAACCTGTAAACAACGGCCACTAACGGCCGTAGTTCGGAGGTGGCCGTCGTTTAGAAAATATTTTGTAATCATTTTTGCAAGGAAAAAAACTCCTGAATAAAATGGCTTCCGTTTACAAGTGGCCATTTTATCCCGCAAAGCCCTTCAACTTTCGAGGGCCTGGTACCGCTTAAAATATTATTGGAGTTAAACGAATTCCGTTGTCTTAGAGTTGGAGTCTGCGGTGACCATTATTGGAGGTTCGACTGTATTTTCTTTATAAT